GTTTAGATTTGTGCCTCAATTCTGCATTTCCTCCCTATACCTTAAGTTAAGGAGGGAATGTTCCCCCTTCTTTTACACCTCTTGACCTTTGACCTTTGAACCCCAGCTTCGACTTCCCAACTCGTTTTCGGATTACCCCCCCACGTCCCGAATATCGTGACCGTACGTCAAGCGGTTAAGATTTGTGCCCAACTGTTGACGCACGCACGCACGGACGGACGATCATGCGATTCTACAAGCTGCATCTGACTACGTCAGATGAGCTAAAAACACGTTGTTAGCAAGTGCAACTATCTGCAGCATGTTACTACTTGTGCCAGCTGGTTTTTGATATTGTGATGAAATGTAGCTAACTTTTACCAGGAGGTTATCGAAAACTACGCTTCTACCTACCTTAGCAACATGTACATGTAGCTGTATTGACACTGACACTTAGAACTTGACAAATTTTGTTAAGTCAAAATCTTTAAAAGTCTCTTATGCACATCTGATGTACATCTGATATACATATACATGTAGCTACTGTACCTTATGCAGTAATTACCAGTTTACACAATGGGTAGCACACAGGTATATCACACCTGTAGATTTTATTAGTTCGCAAGAGCATACCTGTCGTCAGTGCCTTTAATTGTTTATCAAAAAACTCATTCTCCTTTGTTGTGACAGTTGAGCAGCGAGCGCAGAGACGGACTGGGTCCAGGAAGCACATGCGTGGGAGGGGAGTGAGGTTGCCACTGCACACGCTACAGTAGATCTGTCCACATCGCCTACAGTGGTGCTGTGAGAAATATCGCAATGGTTTAATAACATCAGGAGTGAATAATAATAGAATAGAATAATAGATCTAACTGGGTTAATTGTTACTCAACCGTAAAGATTGGAACCGTACAGCTGACGTTTCGCCTCCTATCAGGAGGCTTTCTCAAAGCTGACTGATGATGATTATCAGTTTTGACCACCAGATAGTGTGGTCGTCAATAGCTTGGTCCACAACTATATTATTATTCACTCCTGATAACATGTATCCACCTCGGTGTCACAACATGGTCACTCCTTTAAAGGCACACGTTAATACACTGCAGTGAAGCAAGTCACGGGTACTACCTCGCTCCCCGCATAGAAGAAATAGATGATGAAGTCCAAGAAGAAAAAGAAGAAAGATGAAATAACCGTATATTTCACATGCCCCACAAACAAAAGCTGTCTAAATACATTAGAGGTATAAACAAAAACTCTAGTGATTACGATGAACCTACCCGTCTCTTTAAGAAATCAAATCTAGCCTGGCACCCGGTACAACGTGAACACTGCAAAGAAAAAAAGTATGGTTGAAACAATGATGCTACGTATGAGCGCTTTCTTTTAGCATCGGACACATGCATTTATGACTAAGCACTCAATGCAAGTTACCATTACCAGTCTTGACCTGGATTCAATTGTTTTTAATACTTGATCACATTCTCTCAGCCAACTAGCTGTATTGTATGGAAGGCAAAGCCTCATCTACTAGTTCATCCCTGACCATTACGTTAAGCTCACATATGCTGAAAATGAGGGCAGTCGCTTTCAATCCATTCCTTAATGTACTCAGTGGTTCTTTTATGTCCTGATTATAGAGATGCACTAACTATTTTACCTGGTTATCTGAGGCACAAGATTAGCTCACTGTTTAGAACCAGGTTTTTGACCTTGAGAAAATGCACCGTTTTGGCTGGGGTTTGAACTCACAGCCTTTGAAGTGAAAGCTTGAGATGCTATTACCACTGGACTCACTGAGCTTCCAGTAAGATTACTAGTACTAGTACCAGCACAGTAGTAGCATCAGTAAGACTACGAGTAGTGCACGACTGCATCTTAGACTTACAAAGCAAATATCTAGATATTTACTATGACTATACTGATTAATACTACTGATACTAGAAACCATACTATGAACAAGTGTCTGCAGGGTAGAAATCAACTTTCGAACAAGGGAGTCCAACGGACTCCTAGCCCTCAAAAAGAGGGAGTCCGCAAAACTAAAGATATTAACAATAACGCGCGTGCTTATTTTGAAGATTCATGTGGCTGCACGTCTGCCAAATACTTATTGAACATTTCCTGAAAAAATACGGTAATTCCGCGAGGTCGTGCTCTGGAGCAAACTAGTTAGTATATAGCAGAATTTTCAGGGAGTCACACGGACTCCTGCATATGTCAAATCAGGGAGTCCGACAGTAAATCAGGGAGTATTTGACTCCGGACTCGCGTTAATTTCGCACCCTGTGTCTGTGATACATGTGTTTACTCTTTCACATTGACCCTATATACCAGCATAGGCATTGCTGATTGGTCCATCATAAATACACTAATGTCAAGTTGTAAGGGGTCTCTTATTGGCATGGAGTTATACCCCGTACATACTGCAAAATGATCTTCGCTAGTCGCTAGTCGCTCAGTCGCTAGTGCTCAGTGCACTTACTGTATATATAATATATATAGTAAGTAAAACCGTTTCTTTCTCCGATAGAGGGCGCCATCTATCGGAGAAAAAATAGGTTTTCAACGAAACCACGCTTTTCCAAACCCTGCTTGGCCTTGCTACACTGATAACTTAGCAAAGGTCGAAATGAGGGTAGCATAGAGTAGCTCTACCCTACCTCAATCTTAGAAGGGGTTAACTTAAACTGAACTAGTTTGTATTTAATCCAGGATAACATGTAGGCACTGGAAAAGTTTAGCCCACGTATGGTGTGGGCAAGAGAAGTTGAAGACACACTGCAGCCAAGATGACCAACCGTCCAATGTCCAGCTTCAGAGGCACAGCACATGGCCCCAAACACACTGCAGGCAGTTTAATAATTCCTGGCATTAGGTGAAAGTTTGTCTCATTCCTTGCTACACAATGGCAGAAGTTTTGGTGTCAGGTCCACTCATGCAGACCAGGGGTAGAAATAAGGAGAAAAAAAGAGATGGTCCTGATCCACAGGACCATCTAGTTTGAAATTTACATGGTCCTCTTAAATTTTAGATGGTCCTCCTAAATTTTTTTTTTCTCTAAAAGTAATGCGGCGTGCAAAAAATTTACCGTAAAATGAGACCAAATTATTTAATGGTCAGTCGTCGGACCATTGACTTTAATAATCTGATGGTCCTCCTGCTTATTTGATGGCCCCGGACCATCGGACCATCGCTTATTTCGACCCCTGCAGACCATAGCAGAATCGACCCGTAACAGACCAACTCGGCCCATAAAAAATATATGTTAAATCCAAACCTTCTATATATATTTTAATTATTGCCATATAGAGATATGTATTTTCCACTACCAGTAACAAGTTTATGCTATCTAAGTGTGGAAATTCTTTTAGGTGTGGCAATTCGAAATCTTTGACATTTTTTTTTTAAACAGTGATCACTCTTACTGCACGACACCACGCCATATATATTAGGTTGCTTATGTGTCGAATAGATCGATTAAAGTAACTGTATTTGTTTAATTACGCATGTAATTATCTATAAACAATACATAATCCGTCTTGTGTTCAGCAGCATTGCAGCAAGAGTAGGGGCTATTCGCCCAGCTAAGGCCGGGGGGGGGGGGCATATACTACTCTTGGCCTTGGGCCCCTACTCTTGCAGAATACGGATGTACATCTACATCTGGATTAGCTCTAGTATATAGCCCGCGTACACGGTACAGTTGTCGCCGTCCACGCGCTCCCATTTAGTAATTATTGTATTTGTTTTTTGTTCACCGATTTATAATTAATGTGTGATTGTATATAACTTGTAAGGCCTGTTATGCGTCATATGCCCAAATAAATTTCTTTGAAAATATCTTTGAATCTTGAATCTTGTTCAAGTTGTTGCTTGCCGTTTGGGGGCGGGTAACCCAGCCAGGCTGTGTGACTAACGTCAATATACATTGTCAATACACATACGTCGGTATTCTAACCCTAGCAATACCACAGGTACGGGAAGCGTTTCAATAAAATATAATGCTAACTAAATATGAAATCTATTTACTACCAAATTCTTAATGTTTCTATACTCTCTTTTACCTATTAATATTGCCGACAGTTTCCTGTAAAGTCCGTCCAAATCCTACGTCCAACCATATACGCTGCCGGCGCCATTGCTTTCGCAGCGCGACTGTTGCACACTTACAACTTATATATATAGCAGGTAGGAAAGCGGGATCGCAAAATTCGCTTGACGCTCACTTTATTTCACACTTTCACAGCACGAATACACATCCAACAGCTTCAATCTTTGTTTGTATGTCAAGAACAGTGTTCACTTGTTATAAAAACATAATGTCTCTGTTCGTAACCGAGCTGTGTCACACGAAATCACACAAAGACGCGAACCTTACCCTGTAATGTAAATGGCTGCAAGTACAGGGCTATATATAGACTGGGACTCGCTCCCACCTCGATTACCCATCTAAGCTAAACCGAGAGGTGGGAGCGAGTGCCAGTCTATGGGCTATAGGCGGCGCGCAGGCGGCGCACTGCTTTCCAACTTCCGTACGAGCCTCGCCATTGAAACGTTGCAAAAACGTTGCAAAAACGTTGCAGCGCAAGAATGAGGTCACGAAAAGCGCCGGTGGGTGTTTCCTGATTCTGACAGACATTTACATTACAGGGCAAGGTTCGCGAACGCGAGAATTTCGTCAGTCTTTGTGTGATTTCGCGTGACACAGCTCGGTTACGAACAGAGACATTGTTTTTATAAAACACTGTTCTTGACATAGAAACAAAGATGGCAGCTGTGTATTCGTGCTGTGAAAGTGTGAAACCCAGCGAGCGTCGAGCGAATTTTGCGATCCCGCTTTCCTACCTGCTATATATATTACTATTAGTGTAAGCGTGCAACAGGTTACAGTGGAGCCGTGAGAGCAATGGCGGCTGGCAGCGTAGGATTTTGGTAGCGTTGCACGTAGGATTTGGACGGAATTTACAGGAAACTGTCAGTGTCAGCAATAATAGGTGAAAGATGGTATAGAAACATTAAGAATTTGGTAGTAAATAGATTTCGTATTTAGTTAACATTATATTTTATTGAAACGCTTCAAGTGCCTGTGACTCGTGAGCAATACAGTTTCTTGGAGCTAGCGGGCGGGAATTATATTCTGATGTTATTTTAGGGTTGTTATGTTATGTTATGTTATGTTATTTCTAAAATAACATCAGAATATAAAAATTGTTAGGGCACAATTTTAATATTGGTCTAGGGGGCGGGTAACATGATAATTAGGGCCTATATATAACCCGACCAGGCTGTGACTAACGTCAATACACCGGTACACGGTCAACGTACACGGTCACAACGTACACAACGTACAACGTACAACGTACACAACGTACACGGTCACACGGTACACGTCAATACATCAATACACGGTATTCTAACCCTAGCAATACCGTTTCTTGGAGCTAGGGCCTATATAGCTCTAGACTAGTAACTATAGCCCGCGTACAGTTGCCGCAGGCTATAGTGGCGGAGCGGAGGGCTATAGTTACTAGAGCTAGGGCCTATACTGACATATCTAACGACACAGCTTCTTTTGCCGCCGTGCACATTGCGATTTGCAAAGTTAAAAATACATACCTCTTTGTCAGGCACCCAATGCGGTTCACTAAGTAAGAATGGACTTCTGTAGCATCCATCGATTTCAACTATTTTCATGCCACTTTTTGACCTGACAAGTTTCTTTCCTACGGGAGCTTTCGCCATGTTTACAAAATACTTCGCCCGGCTGTGTCACACGAAAAGTGAGGAGCGTGAAAAATTCGCGCTTGCGCACGCGCAATGATAAACGTTGTGATCAAGTGAATAACAACAAAATTGTTTTCATTCACTCCTGATATCATCATAGATATATACAAGAGCATGATATCATCATATACATTATACATTACATCAGGAGTTAATAAAGACAAATTGTTTGTCTTTATTAACTCCTGATTACATATATAAATTATACCAGGAGTTAATGAGACAAATTTGTCTTTATTAACTCCTGATTATACCTGCATGCATGTTTATAAATTATATTATCAGGAGTAAATAATAACAAAACTTTGTGATTATCTACTCCTGATATTATATAGATTGTCTATGCGTTTATGGGATATCTATGATTGCATATAGCCTATATTTGCAATGTAGTTATATTTCCATCTGATACGTACACTCTTCATTGACCATTTGATTGACTACATTCACAATAAAAGCGCAATTATATAGTTCTAGTACAAGTACATGTCATGAAGTTTTTCATAAAATAAAATCTGATAGCTATATTCGA